TCCGAGCAAGAAACCGCCCAATACCTCAACCAAAAGAAGGACGGTGACTTCTACACGAACTCCACGGACGCCAAGAACGTATGGTCACGACTCCGACTTGCCACGGGACGACTTCGCGACTCCGACAAGCTCGACATTGAATGGAGATGGGACGAAGTCGAAGGACGAGTGCGTCTACACGTCCAAGGCGAGGTCGTCAACAAGAAAAGCTGTGAGCGCGCCCTCAAGAAAGCCGCCCAAGAAGCTCAACTCGCCAGTCTCACTGCAAAGAAGAGCCAAGGCAAGACGTACCAAGTGACGAGCCGCCAACCTACCTCCAACTACTTCATGCGAGACGGACGGTTCCTACGCTTCGCCGACTGGCGGTTCGTCCACCGAGCTCGCCTCGACCTCCTCGCGCTCAACGGCTGCAACCGCTCCAGAGGACACGTCGACAAGCGCTGCCGGAAGTGTGGATACGCTCTGGAAAGCGTAGCCCACACCCTCAACCACTGCCACGCCCATTCGCACGCCATCCAACTCCGCCACAATGCCGTACTGGATCGTCTGATGAACGCCTACAAGCCGCTCGACGACGACAAGATCTACGTCAACCAGAAGATCCCCGGCACAGATGGACAACTACGGCCAGACTACACCATCGTCAACGATCGCCTCAAGACCGTCACCATCATCGATGTGACTATGCCGTTCGAAAATGGAGACGTCTCAATCTTCGAAGATGCACGTCGTGAGAAGGAGCGCAAGTACCTGCCACTTCTCGACAAATACTCCACCGACGGCTACGACACGTTCCTGGGCGCATGGATGGTTGGACCACTCGGAGGTTGGGACGCCGCGAACAACGACATCCAACGAAGGCTCAAGATCCCCGTCAAGTATGGGCAGCTGATGCGTCTTCTAATGGTCGCCGACTCGATCCGTTGGAGCAGGGACATCTACGTGGAACATGTGACGGGCCAGCGCCAATACAAGCTCGACAACCCCCAATAAAAGACCAAAAGCGATATTCATTTTCTATCCCTGTGAAATGCTCTTTGTGTGCCCCCACCTAATTCTAATTTCTCACAAACTGTGTGAATTCGAATCATCTAATTTCTCACTTTTCAAATTTGATTGTAATCTTCCTAAATTGGCGCTTAACCGTCAATTATGAATGCATTTTAATCGCGCCTGTGACTTGTGTATTTCCGGCCCTCGGGCCGAGCATGTACTGAATAAAATTAATCTGTTCTTATCGGCTTAATCTCCGGTACGTGTTCTATTGAACACATCGAGATTAACATATTTTTGGAAATGGTACGGTTCGCAGAAGCTTGCTTCTCGCCGTACAGCGTCGGCCCGGTATTGCACCTACCGCCGGGAACGGCGCACACCCCACACGGGGTGAACAATATTTTAAAAAGAAAGAGCGCCAAAAGTTACATGGAATATGTATTTTTCATAAAATTGGATATTGTAAGGTATATGGAGTAAAACCTAGGTTGAAGGTCCTGCGGGCGGGGGGAGGGCGTCTGGGGTTCAGAGTGGTTAGGGTATTCAAAGGCGTTTATGAATTTGGATTTGCATTTAAGAAACGGATACGGCTCGAAAAATTATATACGCTGCTTATTTTCAGTAAAATCCAAAAAATGGTTTATATGGGAAAAATCCTTCATTTTAGAGTAGGGTCCAAAAACGAACATGGGGCGTCTCTAGGTTCAATCGAGAATACTAATTTGCATCGGCATTTAGGATTCTATCCATAGTATCACATCAGTTCATAAGAAAAAATCACGTGAAAAAGGCATCCACTGTAGGTATGCTCAGTCCCTACCAGGGGTGGGCAAGGTAGGTAGATCTGCAAAATGGGGACTGCCGGGATTTTGGTGGCGGGGCAGGGACTGCCGGGAGGGCGGGGGGAGAACGGCGCGGAGCGCCGGAAAAAATTTGAGATTTTTAACAATTCAACATTGCAGGTAACAAGTATTTCATCGGGAAAACGGAAAGAAGCATTTGTTTGAATATTTGAATTATTGCATGTAATAAGCATTGGGGGCTCTTGGGTACTCAGTAAATTGTAGAATCGAACATCGAACCATATCCTGAATACCCAACCGGCTGTCCGTCCTCGAGACATTTTGGGGGTTTTAAATGAAAAGTGCCTTTTTGAGGGTTTTTCCGGATTAATTCTGGAATACGATGATTTGCAGCTATGGGAGCGGTATCAAATTGTAGAACTTGTTATTCCACATCGAACCATACCTCACACGGCCCACCGGCAGTCCGACTTCATGGACATGTTGGACTGCCGGACCGGAAAACCTGGTTTTTCAAGGTTTTTCCGGCATAATTCCGGAATACGGTAATTTGAGGGCCTGAAAGTGGCACTAGATTATAGATCTCATCATTGCGCGTCGAACCATACCCTACATGTCCTTTTGGCAGTCCGACTTCGAGGAAATGTTGGACTGCCGGTTTTGAACCCGCATCTGCAAAATGAAAAAAACGGGTTTTTGAGGACCGGGTCGCGACCCTTTAGGGGCCCATATCTCGGGGCCCCAATAGCGCACCGGGACGGTAGCTAGCTCATTTTGTAGCTCAGGCTTGGGGCTATCTGGTGGTGTATCAGTCTTCTTAAGGAAACGTAGGAGGCCGTAGATCCTGGACTGCCGAGTTTGAGGCCATTTTGCAGGAGCACATTTTACGAGTTTCTTCTAAAAATCATATCTCGATAATTTCTCGATGGATTTGGCTCAAATTTTCGGAGGAGATGGACCGTAAGCTGTTCTATTCAAGGCATACAAAAGCGAAGCGTCGGCAGTCCGATTTAGGAGGTAAAAAGAGCGATTTACATTCTGCAGACATTTTTCAGACGCGGGTTCAAATCCGGCAGTCCAACATTTCCTGTAAGTCGGACTGCCAAAAGGACATGTAGGGTATGGTTCGACGCGCAATGATGAGATCTATAATCTAGTGCCACTTTCAGGCCCTCAAATTACCGTATTCCGGAATTATGCCGGAAAAACCTTGAAAAACCAGGTTTTCCGGTCCGGCAGTCCAACATGTCCATGAAGTCGGACTGCCGAAGGGTCATCTTGGGTATGGTTCGGCGTGCAATGACGATATCTACAATCTGGTGTCACTTTCAGCGTGAAAAATTAACACATTACGAAAATAGAGCGGAAACCTCTATAAAATAACCCTATTTCGATATATCCGTTCGAACAGCTCACAGATAACGGACTGCCGACGGGACATATAGGGTATGGGTCGACGCGGAACAATGAGATCCACAATTTTGCGTCACTCCCAGACCGTGAAAGTCCTTGGAATCTATCTAATTGCGCCATCAAATGGTAACCCAAGTATGACGGCGTAGCCGTCCCGCCAAAAATCGCTTTTTCCCTTCCAAAATGGACTGCCGGACTCCCGGAAAATGGACTGCCGGGATTTTGCCGCTGCAAAACCTTGCCCACCCCTGGTCCCTACACTAATTTACATGGTATCCCAAAAAAAGCGCCTCCCTCTGGCCGCGCGGTCGTGCCCGATTTTCACCATTTAGGTATCTATCGAAAGCTCTCGCAAAGGCAAGAAACAAGGAGAATTCATTTATTTTATTATATATCGGCGTACGTAGCGGCAAACTGTTTAATGTCATTGGTATTGCGTACAATCTATCGACTTGCTGTTTATAGCATCAACAAAGACAAATAAGTACGTTCTATCTACAAAAAGCTATTTACCGGAAAACCGCCCAAGCTAAAACGATTTTTTCGGATAAAAGTGGATTGTGGACACAGGATTATCCCGTCAATTTTCCGTCCGTAGGATTTGGCATAGTGGTGCTACACGTGATTTAACGGTACAACGGTGGTGTTCGCGGTTTCTCCGAACTCCTTTGGATGGTGACATTGATAACGTAGTGAACGGATATCGCTGGCTACTTTGTGGTTTGAGAGAAACCCCGTGGAAAAGTAGCGACCGTTTGGCGATGATCACCAAAACTCATGGTGGCGGATGTTACGTTTCAAGGAATTCGGTGAGAGAACTTTGCAAATAGGCGGTCGTTGAGCCCTGAAGTTTCCGGTTCCGCCAATCAATCAAAGGCTTAAGCGCAGTTGCCCCCCCCCCCTAGCCGACCCACACCTACCGTATCTCGGCGCCCTGTTCATCTACAGGTGTGTAAATTATACCAAAATACTCGCCAAAGCAAGACGAACATTTTGGTATACCTTAAATACCTGTAGATAAACAGGATACGGATACAGATACATAAAGATACAGATAACAGAACAGGAACAGGATAAAAAGACTAATCAAATACGTTAGCTTTAGGCTAAGGCGTTATAACGTCATGGAGTGAATCAGGTAAGCTTCAATAATCGGTTTAACGAGAGAATGTGCACACCATGCCAAATGCAATGTCTTCTGAATTCAGGGCGTAACCGGGAATTTGATATCGGATCTGAAGTGGAATAGAGCACGTAGTGTGTGTATAAGCATTGATCGTCGATGAAGCATCGATTTATTAGTTTTAGTTCCCTATGCGTTGTTTAAAATTTCAAGGTAGTGCAAAAATTTGAATTCCTGGATGTTTCTTATTTGTTTAATTCTTGCTTGAATTTGAACTTCGTTCACTGGATGACCCTTTAGCCCGCTAAAGACTTTGAGATTTCGATGCACGAGTTCCGCGGCACTCCCCAAAATGGCGCCACCCCGCTTTTCCGGTCTTCGATCCGCCGAATCCCGGGTTCAGCGTCCCGGCCCGCTGATCGAAGGCATCTATCTCTTATCGTCTCCTAGCAACGGTCCGAAACGAACTTTCTGTTGCTCGATCAACTAATACACCTGGTCAAAAAGGTGCGATTTGATGTTTTATTTAGATAACCAACAATGTCGAAATCTTAAGCTTAGCGTGTGATAATCGTAGGAAGCGGACTAATCTTTATTACACACAGTAACGAAAACACGCCTGAAAGAGAATAAGAAAAATATAGCTGAGACAAATCATGCTTTCAGAAAAACGTATTTCTCGTGATTTGCTGCCTTTCAATCGCTTCGAAGATGGCCTTGAAATTCCCAGCTCCGAAGCCCTAAAATAATTTAAATTGGATCGTTCGTGATTTTTACTTTAAAATTGTGGCGCTCAATAAATTCAAAGAACAGCGTCGGGCGGTCATCGAGAGGGCGAGTAAATTTTTGGAGGATGTAGCCCTTCTCGTCGAAATCGATGAAGATGCCCAATTCTTGGAGTCGATCGATGTCGGCTTCGATCTGAAAGTAAAACTCAATCGTAATTTTTATGGCTAATCATACCGGACAATTGCTGGTGCTCAGCTTCTCCCGAACTAATTCGTAATATTTGGCGGGGACATCGAGCAGTTCAACGCCACTAAAATCCTATACTATCGTCGGCTAAGTCGTGATGTACCGTGCTCGCAACGCCTCCACCGTTGCCACCAGGTCGTCGGTATTCAGCGCGACATGCTGAACGCCAGGGCCGCCGTTGTAGTTGACGAATTCCTTAAAATAAAATAAATAAAATGCACAAAATTCCGATTTAGCTGACTTGAATTTGATTTGTCCCTTTTCCCAGAGCTTCATTCCCCTTGGCCACCACAATCTGTATCTTCTCGTTTTCGCTGGCCTCAAATTTCGCGGAAAGAGCAGAATTTTCGGTCGTGATATACTCCGGGCCATCGGTCCAATATCTAAAAAATCAAGCAATGAGTTCGAAGTCCTACCTATGGAAAAGCAGGTTGTCTTCATACCACTCGACTACCGATTCCATCTCATCTTCCTTTTGGGCACCAACAAAGTGATCAATGGTGTTGACGTTCGTCTGAAAAGTGGCTATTTTCCTAGCGCTCGATTCTAAGTAAGCTAATATTCAACTTTTATACCTTTGGCATATTCTCGAAGCATTGACCGTCCCAGTGGTGCTTCCGGAATCCAGGCAGGAACAACCCACGATAGTTTTTTCGCTCGATTAGTGTGTGGATGACGTCACCGAACTGAAATATATTAATCCTGATTTAAACAGAAATCAAAAAAACGTTAAACTGAATGACTTACCGCAAGTATCGAGGCGCTTTTCACAGTCCCATTTTCATCAGATTCCACCGTCATCTCGCGTACAATTCGTGTCTTCTTGGCCCGTGCATGCTCAAGGAATACCTCGAGGTTGTCAACCTAAACTTACAAAAAACCTTAAAGGGGCTCCGAAATGCCAAAAATTGAATTAAGGCCCGAAAATTCAAGCCCTGTACGTCGGAGGCCTCTGTACGCCCAGGGGCGCGGGAAGACGTAAATTTAAAATTGCCTGTGGTCAACTCCAAATCACGTTCGTGGCGGTTTCTGAACCAAATTTGATGTTGAAACACCAAAACCATTTAAAATTCACTGACCATTTCAAAAATGGGCTCAAAATACGCGAATTATAGTGTTTTCACAAAGTCGCGCAAAGATCGAAAAAATAGGGCTCTAGTCCCACAGCGTCCGCTGGCAATTTGCCAGAAATCCAAGAAACCTCCCAAAAGGCCTTTGATTTGGCAGTTCGGAGCCCTTTAAGATCAACCTGTTACCTCAAAGGCAACATCTTTCACCGAATCTCCATGCTTGGTCAGGTAGTCGCCAAAATTCTTGTTGTCAGGGACGGTCGTGCCTTCGAGGACGAGGATTATCTGGAAAGTCAAGTAGTCCATTTATGTCATGTATTAATCTACTGTACCCTTCCAATTTTGACGGCATGTGCTGTCAGTTCCTTGCTTCCAGTTTCTAGTCCTTTGTATGCAAATGGTTCGAAGCCAAGGCTAGCGCAGAACCAGAAGGCAGCCTGGAAAAGCGTAGATTACCGTATCTAATCTCTCTAAAGACCTAGCATCCCCCAGACACTGTATTTTTGCGAAAACCTTTCAAAAGAAAGGATTGGCAGTTTAATCATTTTTAGCACTTTTATGGCTTGGAGTCACTCAAAATACTGTAGGTCCCCATGAATATCAGTTTACTTATTTAATAAAATATCATACCTGTTTAGCATTTCCAACTCGAAGTCGAATATGATCGAAATCGACCGGAGAACTTACTGCCTGAAACATGTGCTCCTCCTACTGTACGGGCTGCCTACCGTATCCTCACCAGCCAAGTTCTCGACCTGCGGAGCCATAGTATCCTGAGTAATGCGTATTTATCACCATAGCATATCAACCCTTTTATAGCATCAGCTTCTGGTAGGCCTCTTCAATGACAAATCGGGCTCAAATCAACCTGAACACCGTATCCGCCTCTTCCCGGGCATTTTTTTGGATCGACTGCCGCAGTGTAGTCCCACCACCCGGACACCCGGGTGGTGGGGTGATACGGTAGGATGGCAATGAGCGATGGTCGCTGAAATTCGGTGAGCTGAACGTTCCGAGAGACTCTTGTTTCGGTGGTCGAAAATCAAATGGTGTTTACGTTTATTATCATGAAAATATAGTAAAGTGTACGGCATTACATATACTATAAACTTTACCTAATAA